AACCTCAGAAAGATCCAAGTAATTCCAAGCAACTGAATTATATCAGAATAAAGCCCATCACTAAAGCAAGAAAACTAAGTGCAGAGTCCAGCACTGAAACATTCACACTATCATCTAGCTGAAAACGGTCGAGCGGTTAGGAGTTCCACAGTGCAGCAGGGCAAACATAGTTGACAGCAGTACGCTGTGTAAAACAGTTGGACGGGAGGATTTTGACTATGCTCACCATAAAAAAAAAAAGAAGGATAAAAGTTTAAGGTAGCATTATGCTGACTTGATTGTTACACAATGTGCACACGAATCAAAACATGTTATACCTCCTAATAGTACAAATGTGTCAACCAAAAAAATAACTTAAAACTTACCCAGCATGCAAAAAAGGAGAGGACCTACAACCAGAAGAAAAACCAATCACCTGTGTGACACAAGTAGTAGTATGTGTTAGTTTTTATCCAGGTTCCTGACACAAAGCTTCTGAAACCTTTGGAATTTGCTGAGAGACAGGAACATCACCAGCCACTTTCAAGCATGGCTGGATTGGTGCTAGAGAAGTGACTCTGGGTGGGCCCTCGACAGCTCAGGATGGGGGCTGGTTACCAGAGGAACCAATCATGTGATTAGAAACACCTTTCAGCCTCACCCCAGACCACGACGCAGAGGACAGGGGCTCAAGACTGAGCTTGATCACAAATAGCTATGATCCCACCCATCACACCTATGTAACAGGGCCTCCGTAAAGCCCCACTGGACAGGGTTAGGAGAGCTTCCAGGCTGGTGAACATCGAGGCAGTGGGAGGGCGACACAGCTCGAGGAGGCATGAAAGCCCAATCCCCCTCTGTACCGGGCTCCACACATCTCTTTAGCAAGTAAACCTCTTCCTTAAGTTCTAAGAGCCTTTCTAGCAATTTTCTACACCCGAGGAAGGGATTGAAGTCAATGTCCACTTTCTAACTGGTCAGTTAAAAGTGCAGGAGGCAACGTGGGCCACGCAACTGGTGTTTGCAACAAGGACACTGTGTAGTCTGCCCTAATTCCAGGTAGTTAGTGTCAGAAATGAACTGAACGTAGGCCAATAAACTGGCTTCCAGAAAATTCCTGAATTGGGTGTTCATATTGGAAAAAAAATTAGTATTTGAAATACTGTGAATAAAAATAGTTTTAGTAGGAACATATCTAGAAAGGACTCAAATGACAGGATTAGCAAAGGATGTTAAATGAGCTGTTATAAAAGTATTCCAGGTAAAGAAGGTAGAGGGAAATGTACCCATGATCAAGATAGAAATAGAGGATATAACTCAGGCCCAAATCAAATTTTCAGAGTTGAAAAACACAACACCTGGCCGGCGCCGTGGCTCACTAGGCTGGTCCTCCACTTTGCGGCGCCAGCACACCGGGTTCTAGTCCCGGTCGGGGCACCGGATTCTGTCCCGGTTGCCCCTCTTCCAGGCCAGCTCTCTGCTGTAGCCAGGGAGTGCAGTGGAGGATGGCCCAGGTCCTTGGGCCCTACACCCCATGGGAGACCAGGGTAAGTACCTGGCTCCTGCCATCAATCAGCGCGGTGTGCCGGCCGCAGTGCGCCGGCTGCGGCGGCCATTGGAGGGTGAACCAACGGCAAAGGAGGACCTTTCTCTCTGTCTCTCTCTCTCTCACTGTCCACTCTGCCTGTCAAATAAAAAAAAAAAAAAAAAGAAAAGAAAAACAACACCTAACACACACACAAAAAAATATACTCCAAGGAATTAGGCACCACAATGAAAAAAAATCCCTGAACTCAAAGACAGAGACGGAAATGTTCCAAAATAAAAGAGGCATGGGAAAACATACCAGGAAAAGCACAACCTGAAACATCAGTGAGCCATGAAACAAAACCAGGCCATCCACATATACAGAGCTCCAGAAAGAACGTCTGAATAATGCCCCCAAGTTTTTCAAATGTGATGAAAACTATAAACTCACAGACCCAAGAATCTCAAAAGACCCAAGCAAAGAAAATTGTACATGATATGCTATAGCCAAATTGCTGAAAACCAGTAATGAACAGAAAATCTTGAAGGAAGTCAAAAAGGGGTTGGGAGAGGCATGGCAGACATAGCAAAGAGGAACACTTCTGACCAGAAACAGGGCCAACCACATCTAAGCGCAACCCATAAAAATGTACAGTTATTAATTAAAAATTTAAAAAAGCAAACCAGAAGACAGGAGAAACATCTTTAACACAGTGAAACAAACAAGAATCATGTCAGTTTAAATTGTTTCTGGCAAGTGCATCTTTCAAAAGTGAAGGTAAAATAAAAGCCTCTTCAGACAAACAAAACCTAGAAGACTTAATCATCAGTAGGTCAGAACTATAAAAGGTGCTTCCTCTTCTGCTGGCATCTTTGGTGTGTGAAAGTGGTTCGCTATTCACTTGACCCAGAAAACCCACACCCTCATGCAAATCAAAAAGTTCAAATCTTTGTGCTCATTTCAAGACACCTTAGAAACTGCTCAGGCCATTAAGGGTAAGCAAATTGGAAAAGTCACCAAGTAACTGAAAGATGTCACTTTCTAGAAGCAATGTGTACCACTCTGTCATCTGAGGGTGGCGCCATGGAGTAGCAGGTAAAGCAGCCACCTGCAGCGCTGGCATCCCATATGGGCATGGGTTCATGTTGCAGATGTTCCACTTCTGATCCAGCTCCCTGCTAACAGCCTGGGAGCAGCAGCACAAGATGACCTAAGCATTTGGGCCCATGCTACCCATGTACAAAACCCAGATGAAGCTCTTGACTCCTGGCTTTGGCCTGGCCCAGCACTGCCATTGCAGACATCTGGTGAGTGAATCAGCAGATGGAAGATCTCTAAATATTTCAGAATAAACAAATAAATCTTTTTTAAAAAGAAAAAAAGAGGTGTGCCCAGGCCAGTATGTGGTCCAAAAAGAGTGCTGAATTTGTGTTACACCAGCTTAGCAACACAGAGAGTGATGCTGAATGGAAGGGTTTGAGTGTAGTCTCTGGTCACTGAATACATACAGGTGAACAGAGCACCCAAGATGTGCCCACAGTACCTACAGAGCTCATGGTCAGATTAACCCCTTAGGAGTTCTCTGTGCCACGTCGAGATGATTCTCTCTCAAAGGAATAAACTGTTCCTAAACTAGAGGAGCAGGTGACACAGAAGGAAAAGAATCTAGAAGTCGAAGAAACAAAAACTTATGATATGGGAGTGAACTCAGATAAAATAAATGCAAATAAAAGTTAAAAAAAAAAAAAGGAAAACAAGAACTGTAAGAAATGTGCCAGGTCCGAACTCAAAAGGCCTCCATAGCCTTGGCAACTCATGACAAGAGCCTAGGGTGATTACTGACGCCATAAACAAGAGTGTCAATTTGTTAAGTCAACAACAGGAGTCACTGTGCACTTACTCCTCATGTAGGATCTCTGTCCTTAATGTGCTGTACATCGTGATTTAATGCTATAACTAGTACTCAGACAGTACTTTACACTTTGTGTTTCTGTGTGGGTGTGACTGTTGAAAGCTTTACTTAATGTATGCTAAATTGATCTTCTGTATATAAAGAGAATTGAAAATGAATCTTGATGTGAATGGAAGGGGAGAGGGAGCGGGAGAGGGGAGGGTTGTGGGTGGGAGGGAAGTTATGGAGGGGAAAAAGCCATTGTAATCCATAAGCTGTACTTTGGAAATTCATATTCATTAAATAAAAGTTAAAAAAAAGCAATGTGCCAGGTCAAAAGAAAATGATATATGACAACTTGAATATATATCTGAAGAACATTAGAAATGGTAAATATGGGCTGGCGCCGCGGCTCACTTTGCTAGTCCTCCACCTGCAGCGCCGGCATCCCGGGTTCTAGTCCCAGTTGGGATACCAGATTCTGTCCCTGTTGCTCCTCTTCTAGTCCAGCTCTCTGCTATGGCCTGGGAAGGCAGTGGAGGATGGCCCAAGTGCTTGGGCCCTGCACCTGCATGGGAGACCAGGAGGAAGCACCTGGCTTCGGATTGGTACAGTGTGCCAGCCGTGGCAACCATTTGGGGTGTGAACCAATGGAAAGGAAGACCTTTCTGTGTTTCTAATTCTGCCTGTGAAGGAAAGGAAAGGAAAGGAAAGGAAAGAAAGGAAAGGAAAGGAAAGGAAAGGAAAAGAAAGGAAAGGAAAGGAAGGGAAGGAAGGGAAGGGAAGGAAGGGAAAGGGAAGGAAGGGAAGGGAAGGGAAGGGAACGGAAGGGAAGGAGGAAGGGAAGGGAAGGGAAGGGAAGGGAAGGGAAGGAAGGGAAGGGAAGGGAAGGAAGGAAGGGAAGGGAAGGGAAGGGAAGGGAAGGGAAGGGAAGGGAAGGGAAGGGAAGGGAAGGGAAGGGAGGGGAAGGGAAGGGAAGGAAGGGAAGGGAAGGGAAGGGAAGGGAAGGGAAGGGAGGGAAGGGAAGGAGGGAAGGGGAAGGGAAGGGGAAGGGAAGGGAAGGGAAGGGAAGGGAAGGGAAGGGAAGGGAAGGGAAGGGAAGGGAAGGAAGGGAAGGGAAGGGACGGGAAGGGAAGGGAAGGGAAGGGAAGGGAAGGGAAGGGAAGGGAAGGGAAGGGAAGGGAAGGGAAGGGAAGGGAAGGGAAGGGAAGGGAAGGGAAGGGAAGGGAAGGGAAGGGAAGGGAAGGGAAGGGAAGGGAAGGGACGGGAAGGGAAGGGAAGGGAAGGGAAGGGAGAAGGGAAGGGAAGGGAAGGGAAGGGAAGGGAAGGAAGGGAAGGGAAGGGAAGGGAAGGGAAGGGAAGGGAAGGGAAGGGAAGGGAAAAGGGAAGGGAAGGGAAGGGAAGGGAAGGGAAGGGAAGGGAAGGGAAGGGAAGGGAAGGGAAGGGAAGGGAAGGGAAGGGAAGGAAGGGAAGGGAAGGGAAGGAAGGGAAGGAAGGAAGGGAAGGGGAGGGAAGGGAAGGGAAGGGAAGGAAGGAAGGGAAGGGAAGGGAAGGAAGGGAAGGGAAGGGAAGGAAGGGAAGGGAAGGGAAGGGAAGGAAGAAATGAAGAAATGGTAAATATGTATGTAAGTGCACACTAATTTTTCTTCATAAAAAAAAAAAACTAAGGGGGCTGGCACTATGGCATAGTAGGCTAAGCTTCTGCCTGCAGCTTCAGCATCCCATATACATGCTGGTTCGAGTCCCAGCAGTTCCTTTTTCAATCCAGCTTTCTGCTATTGCCTGGGAAAGCAGTAGATGATGACCTAAATACTCAGGCTCCTGCACCTGTGTAGGAGACCTGGAAGAAGCTTCTGGTTTCAGATCAGCCCAGCTCTGGTCATCGTGGCCGTTTGGGGAGTGAACCAGCAGATGGAAGACCTTTCTCTCTCTCTCTGTAACTCTACCCCTCAAATAAATAAATAAAATATTAAACAGAAACAAAACCTAAGGGCTGGTGTTTTAGCACAGCAGGTTAAGCCACCACTTGAGATGCTGGCATCCTATATCTGTGCAGGTTCAAGTTCCAGCTGCTTTACTTCTGATCCAGCTCCTGGGAAAGAAGTGGAGGTGGCCCAAGTATTTGGGCCACCTGCACCCATGTGGGAGACCCAGATGAGGCTCCTGGCTGCTGCCTATCCCAGCCCTGGCTGTTGTGGCCATTTGGGGAGTGAACGAGTAGATAGAAGATCTGTCTCTCCCTAATTCTTTCAAATAAATAAATAAATCCTTTAAAAAATCTAGTAGATTGAACCCAGCAATATTAAGATTGTACACTTTGTCCAAGTGGGACTTACACAGGAATATAGAGATAGCTTATCATCCAAAAGCACAAAAACCACATAATCAATAAATGTAGAAAAAGAATTTAACAAAATTCAACACCTTTTCACTATAAGAACACTCAATGAAGTAGGAATAAAAGAGCATTTCCTCAAACTGATATGGAGAATCTATGAAAAAAAAATCATAACGAAAGGTGAAAGAATGCATTTCCATCTCAGAGCAAGACAAATCTATTCAACATTGTACTGGAGGCTCCAGCCAAGAAAATTAGGCAAGAAAATGAAATAAAAGGTATACAGATTGGGAACAAAAATAGATTATCTCTATTCATTGATGACATGATATTGTATGGGGAAAATCTAAGGAATCCACGCACACACACACAAAACTATTAGAACTGATAAATGAGCTTGGCAAGTTTGTAGGATTCAAAATCACTATACAAAATCAGCTATGTTTCTAGACACTGGCAATGAACAAGCTAATAATGAAGTTAAGAGAACAATTCAGTTTACAAAAGCATCAAAAGAAGAATAAAGTTCTGGGGCTAACCCTGTAGAGCATTGTCAACCTGCCAATTGCAAGGCTGGCATCCCATACTGCAGTTTGAGTTTGAATCCTGGCTACTCCACTTCTGATCCAGCTTCCTGCTAATGTGCCTGGAAAGGCAGTGGAAGATGACTCAAGTACTTGAGCCCTCGCTACCCATGTGGGAGACCAGCTGGAGTTCCTTCCTCCCGATGTTGGCCTGGCCCAGATATGACTGTTGTGGCCATTTGGAGGAATGAACCAGCAGATGCAAGATCTCTGTCCCCTCTCACTCAGTCTTTCAAATAAATAAATCTTTAAAAAAAGAATTGTAAAAAAATAATAAATTTGTAAAGGAAGTACCAGACTATACTGACAAGTATACACTTCTTTAAAAGAAATCAAAGTCTTAGAGACATCCTGAATACAGATGACTAAATTGTTAAAATGGCAATACTCCCCAATTGATCTGCAGATCCGAGACAACCTCTATTAGAATACCAGATGGCTTCTTTGCAGAAATTGACAAGCTGATCCTAAAATTTATAAAGAAAAATCAAGAGACAGAAAGGCCATAGCAATCTTTACAAATAGCAAAGTTGGAGAACTCACATTTCTTCATTTTAAAACTTACAAAAATTATAAAGCTACAGTGATTAAGACAATGTGGTGTTATAGAAAGTGCAGAAGAAATGAGTCCAGAAATACACACACTTATAGTCAACTAATTTTCAACAAGGTGCCCCATTATTTAATGGGGAAATTAAAGTAGTGCTGGGGCAATGGAATATCCTTTATACACACACACACTACCAATACAATTAACTCAAAATTATTCAAAGGCCTAAACATAACAGTTAAAACTACAAAACTCTTAGAAGAAAAGCATAAATGATTTCCTTCCTATGATGCTAAAAGTATAAGCAACAAAAGAAGAAAAACCAGCTAACTTAAAGTTCATAAAATTTAAAACTCTTGTGTTGCAAAGGACTCAGAGGGAGTCCCCAAGATGGCTGAACAGCACTGGCCTCCTCCACAGAGAGGAAAGAAAATAGCAAATCATGGCCGGCACCGCGGCTCACTAGGCTAATCCTCCGCCTTGCGGCGCCGGCACACTGGGTTCTAGTCCTGGTCAGGGCACCGGATTCTGTCCCGGTTGCTCCTCTTCCAGGCCAGCTCTCTGCTGTGGCCAGGGAGTGCAGTGGAGGATGGCCCAAGTGCTTGGGCCCTGCACCCCATGGGAGACCAGGAGAAGTACCTGGCTCCTGCCATCGGATCAGCGCGGTGTGCCGGCCACAGCGCGCCAGCCATTGGAGGGTGAACCAACGGCAAAGGAAGGCCTTTCTGTCTCTCTCACTGTCCACTCTGCCTGTCAAAAAAAAAAAAAAAAAAAAAAGCAAATGATAACTGCATTCTGAGGTGAGGGTCTGAGGTTGGACACTGGAAGGCCACAGGGCACCGTGGGCGTCCCATCACAGATCTGAGCGGCAGCAGAAATACAGGCACAAGCGTGTGCTGGCAACTGTGACCTCAGCCCCACCGAAGGGGAAAGGGTCAACAGGAAAGCCCCAGCCTGCAGGCATGCGGGACCTCAGCCGTCTCAGCTACAGGAGGGATCTACAGCATCACATGCCGGGAGCCCAGCTAGGGGAGCTGTCTAGAACACACAAGGTGGCTTTGCTTCTGAGAAGGAACTCACACTGCCCTGGAACCCCCAGAGCACGGGCTGTAGCAGTCTAATGCCGTCTTAGGAAAAGACTCAGACTCACTGTGCGTATCTCCACCTCTAGAGCCCCACCCCCACAGATATCCCCACCACTCTAGCAAAGAGGACTGCATCCGCACAAACCCAATCCAGGCCCAGCAGCAACAGCGACCCCGGCACCTCAGCACAAGCAGTGTCCTGTACTACAAGGGACCAGTGCTTCAACACAGCCAGGCAGGTTTCAGCTCCCTTGGAAGCAGGCTGCTTGTCTCTGCAGACTTGTGATCTATCCCCCACATCCCCTCTCTCCCTTCTGTGCAGCCCTGCCCCATCCCATGCAGCCTGTTTTTATTGATGTGGGCAGAATGCACACACCTGGGAGTCCATCCCAAAGAGGCTCCATTGCCACCCCCACCACCATTGTGGTGGGCAAGGAAAGACACACATGCCCACCTGACCTGACCGAAAACTGCCAGGTGGCTGGAGCCCAACCACCATCACCAAGGCTCACAAAACCTTGCTGGGACCACATGGAGCCCCTATTACCTGTGTCCCGTTGCTGCTGACTCAAGTGGGAAGCGATAAACCAAGACTATACTTCAGTGTCCAAGTGGACCTAAAGTCAAAATAGTTGACCAATATCTGAAGACACAGCTTCAGGAAAAAGCCTTTGACTAATGAAGAGCACCCTTCAAAAGCAATACAGGGGCTGGTGCTGCGGCACAGCAGGTTAACGCCCTGGCCTGATGCACCAGCATCCCATATGGGTGCCGGTTAGAGACCCGGCTGCTCCAAGTCCGATCCAGCTCTCTGCTGTGGCCTGGGAAAGCAGTAGAAGATGGTTCAAGTCCTTGGGCCCCTGCACCCATGTGGGAGACCCAAAGAAGCTCCTGGCTCCTGGCTTTGGAGCAGTACAGCTCTGGCCGTTGCAGCCAATTGGGGCGTGAACCATCAGATGGAAGACCTCCCCACCCCCGCCTTTCTCTCCCTGTGCAACTCTTTCAAATAAATAAATCTTTTTTTTTTTTTAAAGCAACACAAACTGGTCCATCAGATGCAAAAATCTCAATATAGAGACACAAGCAATATCAAAAATTAAGGCGGGGCCAGCACTGTGGGGTACTAGGTTCAACCTCCGCCTGTGGTGCCTGCATCCTTTGTGGGAGGCTACGTCCCAGCTGCTCCTCTTCTGATCCAGCTCTCTGCTTATGGCCTGGGAGAGCAGTGGAAGACAGCCCAAGTACTTGGGCCCCTGAATCCATGTGGGAGACCAGGAAGAAGCTCCTGGTTTCAGATCAGCTCTGGCCTTTGCAGCCATTTGGGGAGTGAACCAGCAGATGGAAAACCTCTCTCTCTCGCTTCTGTAACTCTGCCTCACAAATAGTTTTCAAAAAATAAATCATTAAAAAAAAAAAAACACCCAAAAGTTCAACAACTGATGAATGGATAAACAAAATGTGGTATATTCATATTATTGGGGAATATTCAGAAACAGACAAACCTTGAAAACCTTTTTAAAAGATTTGTTCACTTGAAAGGCAGAGTGATGGGGGGGGCGGAGAGAAAGAGAAAGAGAAAAAGAGAGAGATCTTCCAATTGCTGGTTCATTTCCTCAAAAGCCTACAACATCCAGGGTTGTGTCAGGATAAACCCAGGAGCCAGGAACTCCATCCTGGCCTCCTACATAGATCATAGGAGCCCAGGTCCATGGGCCATCTTCTGCTGCTTTCCTAGGTGCACTGGCAGGAAGCTGGATTGGAAGTGGTACAGCTGGGACTCAACCAGCACTCTGATGCGGGATGCTGGCATGGCAGGCAGAGGCTTAACCCACTACTCCACAAGGCTGGCTTGGAACCTTCAAGACCTGCTAAGGAAAGAAACCAGTCACCAAAGACCACATGATGTGATTCTGTTTATATGAAACACCCAGAATAGGCTAACGTATATTAGTGGTTCTCCAGAGTTGAGGGTTCGGTGCGGGGAGACTATCAATGGGCATAGGTTTTGGGCGGGGGCAGAAGGTAATGAAAATGTTTGAAAATGACTGGAGTTCATAGAACTTAAAACTATTATACATGTTAAAGATTTACTTACTTATTTGTAAGTCAGAGTTACAGAGAGGCAGCGGCAGAGGGAGAAGTTTTCCAACTGCTGGTTCACTCCCCAGAGGCAGCAATGGTCGGAGCTGCGCTGATCTGAAGCCAGGAGCCAGGAGCTTCCTCCAGGTGTCCCATGCCGGTGCAGGGGCCCAACAATTTGGGCCATCCTCAACTGCTTTCCCAGGCGGTAGTAGAGAACTGGATCGGAAGTGGAGCAGCCAGTTCTCAAACTGGCACCCATATGGGATGCTGGCACTGCAGGTGGCAGCTTTGCCCATTACACCACAGCGCCAGCCCACTATTATACACTTTAAATAAGTAACCTCTATGGTATATGAATTATATATCCCAACAAAACTGTTATTTCTTTCAAGCAGTATAACCTTGGGGCTGGCACTGTGGCGTAGCAGGTTAAGCAGTCTGCAGTGCCAGCATTCTATATGGATGTTGGACTGAGTTCCCACTGCTTCACTTCTGCTTCAGCTCCCTGCTAATGGCCTAGGAAAGCAGCAGAGGATGACTCAAGGCCTTAGGACCCTGAACCCATGTAGGAGACCCAGAAGAAGCCACTGGCTTTGGCCTGGCCCAGCCCTGGTCATTGCGGCCATTTGGGGAGTGAACCAGCAAACGAATGATCTTTCTCTCCTCCCCTTCTCACTTTCTCTTACAAATGCCTTTCAAATAAAATAAAAAATCTTTAAGAAAAAAGCATAACTGTTTAATAGAAAAACAGTAATGTATTATTGAATTTATACTATAAATAGAAGTAAAATTCATAGAGAATAGAATTACACTGTTGTGAGATTCTTATGATAGTATCTGAAGGAAGATTGTGGGGAGCTGATGATATTGCTGTGAATTGTAGAAGAACCACTAAAAACAAACCGAAACCTAAACAAAAACAAAAACAAAATATAATCATTACAAAATACCCAGACCCAAAGAAATCAAGAGGGGAGAGAAGGAATGACAAACAGATGTAGCAAATAAAATGCTAACAGCTTTGGGCCGGCACCATGGCTCACTTGGTTAATCCTCCACCTGCGGCGCCAGCATCCCATATGGGCGCCAGGTTCTAGTCTTGGTTGCTCCTCTTCCAGTCCAACTCTCTGCTGGGAAGGCAGTGGAGGAAGGCCCAAGTGCTTGGGCCCCGCATCCACATGGGAGACCAGGAGGAAGCACCTGGCTCCTGACTTCGGATCAGCGTAGCTCCGGCCATGGCGGCCATTTGGGGGGGGTGAACCAACGGAAGGAAGACCTTTCTCTGTCTCTCTCTCACTGTGTAACTCTATCTGTCAAAAAATAAATAAAAAAAATGCTAACAGCAATTACACAGATTTAAACCTAACCGTACAGATAACAGCGTCAACTCTAAGGGGGTCTTAGTCTGGGGCCAGCATTGTGGTGTAGTGAGTTAGGTTGCAGCTTGTGACACTGGATTTCCACATAGGAGTGACAGTTCCAGTTCTGGCTGCTCTACTTCTGATCCAGCTCCCTGCCAATGTGCCCAAGAAAGCAGAAAATGGCTTAAGTACTTGGGCCTCTGCCACAGGTGTTGAAGATTAGGATCAATTTCCAGGCTCCTGCTCTGCCCCTGGCCACTGCAGCCATCTGGGGAGTGAACTTGTGGATAGAGGACCTCTGTCTCTCTGCTTTTCAAACAAATATTTTAAAATGATAATTGTTTAAGCAAAAATAAAAGATGAGTGTACGTTAAAAGCAGCTAAGTTTGTCAGATCAGATGAAAATGACACAATTAAATGTTGCCTAAAAGAAAACCACCTCATGAACCAGCAGATGGGAGATCTTTCAAGTCAATACATATGTTTATTTAAAAAAAAAAAAAAACAACTTCATACTGGTGTGGTGGCATAGTGGGTTAAGCCACCACCTGTGGTGCTGGCATCCCATATGGGTGCCAGTTTGAGTTCTGGCTGCCCTACTTTTAATCCAGCTCCCTGCTAATGTGCCTGGGACAGCAGCAGAAGATGGCCCAAATCCCTGGGCCCCTGTACCCACTGGGAGCCCCAGATGAAGCTCCTGGCTCCTGGTTTCAGACTGCCCCAGCTCCAGCCATTGCAGCCATTTGGGTAGCACTTGCACTCTTACTCTCTTTGTAACTCTGCCTTTCAAATAAATAAATAAATCTTTTTTTAAAAAAAAAAAAAAACTACTTCAATGGGTTTAAGATTGAGGTTAAAAGTATAAGATTAGAAAAAGACACATCATGTCAACACTAATCAACAGAAAGCTAGAGATACCATAGTGATATCAGCCAAACTTCAAACCAAGAAAGTCAGCAAGGGCTTAAGAACATTTCCTACGGAAGGAGTCAACTCCTTGAGGGGACACAGCAATCCTGAATATGCATGACTCTAAGAACAAGACAGCATACAAACAAAGCAAGAGTTGACAGAACTGAAAAAATAAAGAAACTAAGGAGACAGGTACGGGGAGAAGCCCCAGTCCACATCGTCATTGGAACTGGAAGCCATGGTAACCAAAGATACCAGAAAATGAAGGAAGAGAGAAAAGAGGACAGAAGAAATCCTCACAAAGATGATGCAGAAGCCATCAGAGAGAGGGAAGGCAAACAAGGAGGCTGTGGGTCCATGGGATGTGAGGCCAAAGTGTTCCAACAGGCAGAGCCTACTCAGGTCATGCTGAATGCTGGAGAGGGAGAGTGGGAACCAAGAGCTTTCAGCTGGATCTACAGTAAGAACAAATGGCACAAGAAGGCGGGTGGTGAAATGGGGGCAGAAGCCAGGTTAAGGTGGATTGATGACTCAACAGGAGATGATACACAGCAACTCTGTCTTCAATAGGCTGGAGAGGGGGAGAGCAGAGACGGGGGCTGTCAAGTCTAGGCATCTCCTTTGGGTAGCTAGGTTACAGTGGAAGAAGCCAGGAGAGCTGGAGCATGAAGATACAAAGGACAGAGGGACTAAGCACCAGAGTGAGGTACCTGGAAGGTGGGGGAGAGGAGAAGGGTTCCATCAGATCTGATGGAAGGGTGAACTGGATTGGTCTGAACACGATGGGGGCCAGAGGCATAGATGGGTAAGCACGTGGGAAGCCCACGGCAGAGGTGAAAGAAATTTCCTCCCGAGCAGCTTTCATTTCTCTTGGCAAAGACAGAGTGTAGGGCAACTGCTGGGAATAACTGGAGAGCTATGATGTAGCGAAGTAGAGGGTTATGCAAGAGCTTTGAAATAGCTGTAGGGCAATAGGAGTAGGCCTAGGCAGAAGGACTGCTGGGCACTATAGGGTGCAGTTGAGGCTGTGGAACATGAAACTGGACTAGTGTCAATGCATGAAAGGATTCCCAACCACCCCACCCTACCCCACTCCCCTTTAAGCTGGGACTACAGAAGGCCGGCAGTTTCCATGTTTTCCAGTGTAGGTGAGAACCTATAGGGCCAGGTTGGGGTCAGCACCGTGGCTCACTTGGTTAATCCTCCGCCTGCAGCACCAGCATCCCATATGGGCACAGGTTGCTCTTCTTCCAGTCCAGCTCTCTGCTGTGGCCCGGGAAAGCAGTGGAGGATGGCCCAAGTGCTTGGGCCCTGCACCCACACAGGAGACCAGGAAGAAGCACCTGGCTCCTGGCTTCGGATTGGCGTAGCTCCGGCCATAGCAGCCATTTGGGGAGGTGAACCAACAGAAGGAAGACCTTTCTGTCTCTAACTCTATCTGTAAAAAGAAAAAAAAAAGAAAAGAAAAAGAAAAAAGAAACATTTTAAAGGGCCAGGTTGTAAATGCTGAGTAACAAACTAAAAGACAGGATGAGAAATGATTCAGTGACGAGAAAAACCAGGAGTCAGGAGCCTGCAGGTCGCTGTGAGCAGACATAGTGGTGGTGAGGGAGACAGACACATAGGAGATACAAAGAGACGAGTATTTCAGAGCTGGGGGGCCAGTGCTATGGTACAGCAGGTGAAGCTGCTGCCTTCGGTGCCGGCATCCCATATGGGCACCAGTTCAAGCCCTGGCTGCTCCACTTCCAATCCAGCTCTCTGCTATGGCCTGGGAAAGCAGAAGATAGCCCAAGTGCTTGGGACCCTGCAGCCACGTGGGAGACCTGGAAGAAGCTCCTGGCTCCTTGCTTTGGATCGGCCCAGTTTTAACTGTTGCAGTCATTTGAGGAGTGAACCAGTGGATGGAAGACCTCTCTCTCTCTCTGCCTCTCTGTAACTCTGATTTCAAATAAATAAATCAATCTTTGGAAAAAAGAAAAGATGTCAGAGCTAGAATAGATGCTAGTAATGGCTGGATGAAACAGAGGTGATGTTCAACACACTGAAGGTAAGAAGCAACTCAAAGATTAGAGTAAAAGACACTACCCTCAAGGGCACAGAAGCTCCCAGGATGCTGGTAAAACCTAAGAGGAAAACTCTGAGCAGGACAAGTGCCAAGATTCTCTTGCCTTCCTGTATCCCTAAGTGGCAGGATCATCTAACCCTGCCACTAACATGACTACTTCCAACCTGCCAAGTTATGTCCCTCCGACTCAGCTCTTGACTCTCGGGCTGCCTGGTTCATCACCTCCCATTGTCCATCTGTTCTCAGCCTTGTGTGCCTATACAGGACTGGTCACCATGGCTGAAATGTCACACTTGCTGGTAGCATCATGAATTGTACAGTTTTGCTGACATGAAGGGAAGCTTCAGAGTCTTTCAACATGGAAGAGCCAGAGTTGTGTTGGGAGCCTTAAATGAGATACAAATTCCCAAAATGAACCAGTGCAGAAGCCCAGGATAGTCAGGAGTCCCTGCCAGCCAGCCGTCAGCTGTACATACATGGTGCACACTCTGCTCAGGGCCTCCATTCAGATAAGGTGAAGTCATAGCCAAAGGACCACTGACTCTCAGTAAGCCCCTTGACTTCTACACACAAAGGCTGCACCCCCTTCCTGCAGGGCAGAGAGCCCTGAGCAGGGGGCCTGGGTTTTAGTGCCGACTCTACCATGAACTTGCGGTGTGACCTTACCCTGAGGCCTCGGCTTTTCCTGTTAAACAAGGGGTTGGATGTGAGAACTCAGAGACTCCTGAGGCTTTGACAGTCCATGGACAGTGGGTGCAGGAAGGAGACTCAACAGCTCACATCACTCAAATGCACCAGCTGCAGGAGACAAATGAGCTGAAGTCTTCAAGTCTCATCACAGGCACCCCAGCAGAGAGGCTCCCCCCTCCACAAGAGCCTCTCAAGTAGGTTTGGATGACACACCCCACTCTGTATGTCATCCACTTCAGGAGGTTTTCTTTTGGATAAAAAGTTAACCTGGTTTGAGGCTGAGTAGAAAAAGGAGAGGCACAGGAGGCCCGTGGACCTCCACACAGGTTTCCTCTCAGGGAGCCATTGCCACAGACCCAGTCTGCGTCCCAGGACCAACATCCACGATGGGGCAACCTGGTACCTTATTCTGCTGGCCTGGTCCCACTGAGGAGCAGGTGGACTTCCCAGTGCTTGGTGTCCTCTGCAGCTGGGAGGGGATGCCACCACCTTGCCTCATCTACACGCAGGGCCAAGCCCCCTCCTTTACAAGACAGCTATTTCTGACAATTTCTTTGGGCCAAGATATGCATCCTAGGGACCCCAACATCTACAAACTATAAATGAGGTCCTGATCAAGAGACTTGGGCAAGACCCAGCTCCTGCATCAGACAACAGGTCTGGGGATGCCAGCCTGGGGCCAGCAGTATCCAGAGCTGGGTTATTTAGACAGGGATTAGGCAGAAGGGCTCAAGGCTCTAACACGGTGATTCCCTCAGTGGCCCTGGGCCCTGACTTGACCACCTGTAGAGGGAGGCCTCCTCTCTTGGAACTCCTGGCTGTGAGTCAGGGAAAACAGATGATAGGAGAATCCAAGAGGAGCAACCCAAGGCCATAAGAGCTGCAGAAAGTGCAGGCTTTGTCTAATGGCCATATCCTCCCTTGAACACCATCTTACACACACAACCCCTACAGCTTAGGAGATTCATGGCCAATGAGCCACCCATGATGCACCCCACCTCCCTGCACAGTCTCCTGTGCGTGGCCCTTTCCCAGTTTCAACACTCCCTCCTCCCCTACCAGCTCACCGAGCGATCTCCCTTCCTTCCTTCCAGTACTTCCTCCTGGTTGTTCTCCTGAGGAGGAAAAGAAGCGGTGACTCTCTACACCCTTTCTGCCTCACCACATCCTCCCTGCCCATGTCTGGCCAGACCGTGGTCACTGGAGGCCTCTTTCAGTGCCCCAGTAGGTAAGTTAAATGACAGCAGGAGGCAGTCCCTAGTGAGGGCGTAATGATCTGAGCCATGGAAATGAACCTGGGATGGGTGGGCTAGGGTGGACAAAAGTTGGGAGGAGGAGCCCTCCCTCAAGATGAAGTGGAGAGCAGGGGTGCAGAGCACCCAGAGATCTGGGGAGAAGCCTCAAGCCTAGTTCCCTCAGAGGTCCCAGATCCCTCAGAGGTCCCAGATAGATCTGGGGGTAAGGAGGCTTCCCTGCACACGTCTGGAGCCCAACAGGTTGTGGGGATAGGCCTGGACTCCATGTGGAGGAGACTGGAGCAGCATCTGGGGAAGGCCAAGACCTTGCAACTACAAAGGGGTAAGGCCAACGGAGATGGGTGGAGTTGATGCAGGGGCAGGGCCCATGGGCTAAAGAAGCGGGTGTTGGGTGCTTACCGATTTCTTCGGGAGCCCCATTTCAGGACCCCAGGTTTCCTGTGCTGCTTTGAATGCTGAGATCCCATGGGCCGGGGGTTGCCTCCTGGGAACAAAATCCCTGTCTTGGCAAAAGGGTACAAATCCAGGAAGAAGGCAAGGGTGTTCCTGCCCCATGGCAGCCAGAGGATGGAGTGAGTTGGGAGATGGTCCTGCTGCATGCTGCATCTAAGACCTGGAGCCTATTGAATTTCCTGTATCCAGCCCAGGATTGAACCCAGCACAAGCCCACTGTGTGATTGTGTGTGTGTAGGGGGGTGGCTCCCTTCATCACCAGGCAACAGTCAGACTAACCACCACCATCACTGATTAATTAGGATATGGAAACCCTTATGCTGGCCACAGTCTCCCTCCTAAATCCTTTGGGACCAGATGGAATCCTCAAGGTCTCATTAACCATGTCACTCAGGGACATCCAATTGCTGGTTTTCACGGCAACACAGAGACCATGTATCCTTGCATCTGCAGGGTTACTATAGCAACCTGGCAGAGCCAAGCGCACTGAGGACAAAGGCCCTTTCTGGAGGAGCCACAGCCACAGGATGCATTCGCAGCTGCCCTCTCTGTGGCCAGCCCTGTGCTAGGGCCAAGCTCTCGCTGGGGAGTACACATGCTATGTACTGTAGGTGCCAACTGAAGACTGAGAATTTGCTGGCCTCTCTCCCTTGGCTCTACTTCAAGTGCACCTGGGTGATCTTGCCCCTCACCTGCAACATCCAAGCCTGCATCATGGGACCAACTCTCTTCCAAATTCTGAACCTTCTAACTTCCTGCTCTCTGGACACAGTCAGTAATGCCCTCATGTCCATGGCACCTCACACAGAGGTATGCAGTTTGGACTTTCAGAGTCTGACCACTCATTCTACACTCAGCACGAGGCACCACTGTGGCATCCTGCTTTGCCCTGTCCTCCTCCCTCAGCCAAGTCAGACTATCACCACGCACTTCTGATGCCATCCGCTAGGTGTCTTCCACCTCCACCACCTCCTTCCCTAGATCTACTCTCAGTTAGGGCCTCCCTGTCTGCTAGGATGTTGAAATCAGGATGGTGTCTGCCTCCAACTGGCACCAGTGTGAACTTTCTAAATGCAAATCTGATCACGCCCCTACCTGGCATAAACCTTCCGAAGCTCTGCTCTGCCTTAGGACACACTGAGATGCTCTAGTCTCCCTGAGGTTCCCGCCTAACTCTTCAGCCCCATCTGCTGCTGCACCCTCACTCTAAATCCCCTGATGTCACTTCCTGTCTCTCCCTCCCCTACTTCCTACTTCCCCTTTCTGGGTCACACTCAGCCATGCTCTTGTGGAAACTACACCCAATCAGTGAGTTCGGAGCAGTAGTTAGGATCTTCAGGATCCAATTTCTAATTTCTGTGGGGAAAATGCTACCCACATACAAAGCTCGACATTCCTCAGCCCTCCCTGATGGGACTCAGCAGACCAAGGGCCTGGATCTCCAAAGCAGACACTAAGTCTGTGGAAAGACTGTTGAAGTGGCCAGGGGACGAGGGCACAGAAGTGAGCCCTTGCCATCAGCTCTCATGGCCTCCAGAGCACAGAATCACAGACCATCTGCTCAGAAGAGAATCTTACCCCCTCCTTCCTTAACATTACAGATGAGAGACCCTGGCTCAAAGGGAGCAAGAGTCCAAGAAGACCCCATCCCTCTGTCTCTCATCAACTCTTTTTGGAAATCTGTGTTCTGCCACAAGCAGCACGGAGCCTGCCAGTCAAGGCAATGGGTTCCTTAGGGCCAGTGCTCAGTCTGGCACTTTTCCAATCACTATCTTCTCATTGGCCCCTCTCGCCCAAGTGCTCAGGTTTATACACTGATCTCCAGGGTTAAACCCGGACAAGGCGGGGCTGACACTGTGATGTAGCAGGTAAAGCTGCTGCCTGCAATGCCAGCCATCCCATATGGGTGGTGGTTCATGGCCTAGAAATTGCACTTCCCATCCAGTTCCCTGCTAATGCACCTGGGAAAGCAGTGGAAGTGCCACCTACAATAGGTGACCTGCAGAGGACCCAAGTGTTTGGGCCCCTGCCACCCATGTGGGAGACCCAGACTGAATTCTAGGCTCCTGGCTTTGGCCCAGCCCAGCCCCAGCCATTTTGGCCATTTAGGGAATGAACCAACAGTTGGAAGAGCTGCCTGTCCTTCTATAACTCTTTCAAATAGTTGAATCTTTTTTTTTTTTTTTTAATAAAATAGGGCAAGAGGACTGTGTAAACCAGTGAGTTTATCAACCCTAGGTGAAGCTACTTTCTTCCTCCAAGGAGCCCGTGATGTCCTGGGAGAGGACGGGGCAGGGATGGGGGGCACATGGAGGGAGGGAGAAGACAAGCCAAAAGAACAGTAAGCTGCATCCCTCCAGGGTCACACGCCCTGGGGCGGGCAGCCCTTCTGAAGCTAAGCTGATTGACAGGTAAGCATGAAACCTCTTCCAGCATCAGTGTGCTCCTCTTCCCAGAGTGGTCTCTCCAGCTCTGCAGTTGGTAATTTCTTCTTCGCTTCAAGCCCAAACCTTTCGTTCTAGTTCTTTCCTCCAGGGCCCTACAGAACACGACTCTTCAGACTATCACAGAATTTTGCACAGGCTCCTTTAATGGGGGAACAGGGGCATAACCCTCTAAGGAAAGCGCTACCACTGATGTTTCACGAAGAGGAAACAGCTCGGAGAGGGGATGTCACCAGCCCAGCAAGCGGCAAGGTGGGCAGGAGGAATAGGCAATGAGCTGGTCCTGTCCATGTGGAATAAGATGACCTACCCACACCTGGTGGGATGCCTGGGGGCCCCGTGGAGCAAGTCACCCGACACCCTCCGGTCCCCCACTGCGACAGGCACCTGGTCACTGATGGCCCAGTGACCCAGGATGGACTGCCACATGACATTGCCTCAAGTACTGCACAGAATTTGGCATGGCAGGTGCACCTTCCACAATCTTTCTGGAATGTGTAAGCCCAACACAAGCTGAGGGAGGGGGCGTTCCCTGGTGACAGGTGTGACCCACTGGCTGCCCTGCTCAGCACCACAGAAGCCCTTCGGTGCGGGAGACCTACCCTCTGCCGGAGGCGGGTCAGCAAGGATCCATGTCTGCTGCAACGTGTCACCTCCCTTTCACACACGGGTCACCACGGGCTTCCTTCAGCCATGCTGTCTGCACCCTGGGAGGAATTCAGGGAATGTCATTTTCCTCACCTCCATATACACCCAGGACCACTAAGCTTCCTTTAGTGTGTCAGTGATTCTGAAGGCACAAAAACCAAGTCAGCCCTGGCTGGACGTGGTTCCAGGAGTGGAGCGAGGCCGCACATTTTCTGTCCTTTCAGCACCACAGCATTTACCATGGCAACTGCAGGCCCCCTTTGAGGTGTCTGAAGGCTGAGCTAGGGTCCAGAGGGACAGAATGCAGGATGAGCACGGAAGGGACTCCTGGGTCCCCACACGGAGAGATGCTGAGCCTCAGGCAGCAGACAGTGTGAGCTAAAGGGGGCAGGGGATTGGGGCCCCACAGCAGAGCGAGGGCAGCAGGGCGAGGACTGGGGTGAGCAGAAGGAGGCACACACCTGGATGCAGATTTTGAGGATATGCCAAAAAACATCAGTGGGCAAGAGATAAAATGAATGCCCAGACATCCATGATAAACACAGTCTCAAAGTTTTAATGAGACAGGGCTGGGATCAGGGTGAGGCCAAGTGTTACATGCCCATGTTGCTCCAGTCCTTATTGAAACCGTACTTCTATCCTTTGGGGATGTTTTTGCATTCATTTTGAATTGTAGAAAACCCTGAATCAAAACCCAGCTCCCTTCTAATGTACCTGGGAAAGCAGTGGAAGATAGTTCAAGTGTTTGGGCCCCTGCCACCTACATAGTTGACCTTGATGAAGCTCCTGGCTTTAGCCTGGCCCAGCACTGACCGTTATAGCCATCTGGGGAGTGAAACAGTGGATAGAAGTGCTCTCTGTCTCCCCTCTGACTTTCAAATATTTTTTAAAAAGCATATTATTGGGCAGCACTGTGGCATAGGTTAAGCCTCCTCCTGCAGTGCTGGCATCCCATATGGGCGCCGATTCGAGTCCTGGCTGCTCCACTTCCAATCCAGCTCCTTGCTAATGTGCCTGGGAAAGCAGTGGAAGATGGCCCAAGTGCTTGGGCCCCTGCACTTGTGTAGGAAACTCAGAAGAAGCTCTTGGCTCTTGGCTTTGGATCGGCCAAGCTACAGCCATTACAGACATCTGGGGAGTGAACCAGCAGACAGAAGATATTTCTCTCTCTGCCCTCAAATAAATAAATCTTTACCCCCAAAAGCACATTATTTACCTTCACTGCTGAACTTTTTAGAGGTCATTTAAATTTTGCTCTTGAGGTAAATGCCTCTCTTGTCTCACCCTAGTCTCAGCCCTGGAGGCAAGGGACAGGCTGCTTCAGGGCAGCCATGCTGCTGCAGGGGAACAAACATGTGACAGGAAGCCAGCAGAAGTGGATTCACGTCTGGTACCCGAGCTATGTCGTAGTGGGTATAGCTGCCGTCTGTAGTGCCAGCATCCCATATGGGCACTGGTTCGAGTCCCAGCTGCTCCATTTCCGATCCAGCTCTCTGCTATGGCCTGAGAAAGCAGTAGAAGATGGCCCAAGTCCTTGGGCCCTTGCACCCATATGGGAGATCAGAGGAAGCTCCTGGCTTCAGAGCAGTGCAGCTCTGACCGTTGTGGCCAACTGGGGAGTGAACCAGTGGATCGAAGACCTCTCTCTTTCTCTGCCTCTCCTTCTCTCTGTAACTCTTTCAAATAAATAAATAAATCTTAAAAAATAAAAAAAGAAGTGAGTTCATGTCTGCTGACTGTTGGGATGGCTCTCAGTTCTCAGAATCAGACTGCACAGGACTGTGCACCACGGGAATTGCTGTTGGGGAACACAGGTGCCTACTGTGTATGGCAGCCCTGCACATCCCAGGGCAACCACGATTCAGAAGGTGGCTCCCATCTCTGCCCCACCTCAGCTGGCTGCGGAGGGGAGAAGAGGAGAGAGGGGCATGGTGGAGGCGGCCAGGGAAGAGGCTGGCAGTTTTGCACGACTAGGAGCAGGAATGGCAGATTAGCTGTAATTGCCTGAGCTGAGAGAGGCTGTTGATAAATGTTACTAATAATCAACCCTCAGATCTGACACCCTGCTCAGTCTGGGATTACTGTTTTGAATGGAAATCGAACCCAAACCAGTAATTACCCTGGTGAGAATGCCAGTCTTCCTCAGGAGCCTGCTCTAGGCAGGGGAATGGCACCTGCATGTCAGTACCCATCCCTCGGGGAGGATTCTGCAGAGGACTCCTTCTTGAGGTCATGAACTGGCCTGACCTTTTCCAATGCAACAAGATACAGTAGATAGGAACAGCTACACTTTTTCATAGAAGCTGCTGTGGAAAAGGAAACCCCACCCAGGCCAGCACTGTGGCACAGCAGATTAAGCAGTTGCCTGTGCTGTTGGATCCACTATCAGGGTGCTGGTTCAAGTCCTGCTGCTCTGCTCCCCATCCAGCTCCTTGCTAGTGCTCCTGGGAGGACAGTAGAAAATGGCCCAAGTACATGGGAGACCCCGATGAAGATCCTGGCTCCTGGCTTTGACCAGGTCCAGCCCCAACCATCATGGCTACCTAGGCAGTGCCCTAGTGAGTGTAGGATCTAATTCTGCTTTTCAAGTAAGTTTAAAAATTTTATTAAAAAAAAAAAAAAAAAAGGAACTCCAACCCAACCTCAGCAGTCTCCAAGCAGAGTCCAAGCCCCAGACTTCACTGTCTTCCCCTGCCTCATGGGTTGGCTGGGGGTGACATAATTCCTAGTTCTCAGAAGCAGCTGCTTTGGCAGACGGATTGCAGTCCCTCTCCCACCAACACAGGCAGAGCTTTCTGAGCCTAAACACGGGGTTCCTGAATAGCCCCAAGGTTCCATTAGCCTGTAGCCTCCTGGAACCTGCTGGGGCCAGGAAAGATGGACAAGGTCACAGCAGGCCCTACAGCCTGTCCCAGCTCGTCTCTGGTTCCTGCTTGTGCTGGTGCCAGACAAGGGCCAAGTGGTCCTGAAAACTCTAGCTGGAAACAAGAGCATTCTTCAGCCCTCTGTCTCCTCGGTGCCTCCCATTCTATCTGGAGGACCCCTAGGACCAGGACAGAGGAGGCAAGGCTGCTCCTTACTCTGAACCAACCCCTCCCCAGGGTACACTCATGCTGGGGTCCTTCTGCCTTGTTTCCTGCCAAGGTAGCTGGACACTGAAAACATATTCACTGGACAAAGGACAGGGCAGTGGTAAGAACAGTGATGACCACAGTCTCTCCTGTTTACACATCCACCACCACCAAACAATTTTGCCCTGAATGCGATGCCAGACCCTGTGCTGGGCAAGCAGTCCAGGGGACACAACTCTTGCCCTCAGGAGCACCTGCAGGGAAGAAGTGGAAGCAGGCAGGTAATTACCAACTCAGGAGTCCCTTCTGGTCCCTTCCAATTGGATTAAAATGTGCTCAACCACAGTCCTGAGGTGTCCAGGAGTTGCCTTGGGGGCACACAGACCTCGTCAGGCTTAGTGGGGAACACATTAGGAAACCACAGCTTTCCAGGCTTCAATCAGACCTGTGAAAAGTGTCAGCGACACCAGCATTGACACCTCAAGACTGCCACCTAGTGACAGCACAGGAGGAACGCAGCTCTATTTTCAGGCCCAAGAGTTTCTTTATGCTCCTGTTTCTTTATGTTCCCCAGGAGTTTCTTAACGCTCTGAATGGATGCCTGAACTCAGGAAATGCAAAGGGGAACCAAGGTAAAGAGATTGTTTACAAATGCTTGGAGCTCAGAGGAAAGGGGGGCGCAGTGGCCACAGGGTTTGGAAGCTGCTGGGAAGTGGGCAGGGGAGGGGCCATACCTCTGCAGCTCAGACTGCAGACTGGGCACACTGGGGCCTCCAATCACTCCCTCACCCTGCAGAGTCTCTTCTGGGACTTGGGCCATGTCACCCGCTCCTGGCCTAGCCCACTGGGGCCGTGACAGGAAGCCCATCCCATAATGAGCCTGCTTAACCTCTCTGCTGTCAAGATAGTTTCGGGGGTCCCAGGAAAACTGTGTTCACCATCAGCAAACTCATTTTGCTTCACAACTCATGGGCAGGCAGGAGTCCTCCCTCAGCCCTCTTACTGGATTCTGGAAGTCTTGTTGCCCTAATCATTTTTCCTCTTGCCAGAGAGTGCTCACCAGGTGGGAGGTGAGCAGCCCCTAACATAACATTCCTCGAGCTGCGGGGAGCACTCAGCCTGGGGTGAGCCCAACACAGAGGATGCACAGGGAGGAGGAGGAGCAGGTGTGCGGGAGAAGTAGAGAATGAAGTTGTGCGGGGCAAAGGGGAGCACACACTGTGGAGTATCTTAGAGGCGGCCATCTGTTTCTTAGAGAGCTGGAGAGGCTAGTGAGCCACACTTGATGCTCAGTGTACTAGGCCTTCCTAGGCAGCCACCGACAATGCTTAACAGGGCTGCCTGTGGCTTACAAGCTACTGAAAAAAAACAGGTACCACCCCCTGGCACTAGCTCACCCAGCTGATCCAAATGCACTGCCCAGCAGACCAGCGGGGCTATCCACCGCCCACCACTGCCCAGGAATGACCTCATCATCAAGACCAAGTGCTCAGGCTACCAGCCCCCTACACTGCTGCCTCTTTGGTGTCACCAGGAATGGGGGTCGGGAGCAGGGTAAGAAGGACAGAGTGGCCAGAAGCGTGGGTAGTCTGGACCCCTGGCTTCAGCCCTGCACTGTCACCTTCCTCTGCAAGCACTCAGGTCACAGCACACTCACCTGCACACCTGCAGCGGGAGGCTCCAGGAAGTCACTGCTGTTCCCCTTCCTTCCCCAGGGGGTCACCGTTGGTCCAGCTGCCGCCCCTCCAGCCCCTTCCAGAGCAGGAAACCCCCGGAGTTGGGTAGAGGGATGGGGCTGCACTACCCCCAAGGTTGAGCCTCCAGACAGATGACACCCAGGGAATGTGAAGTGGCCAAAGGGGGAGGAACCCAGGGCCTGAGGAGAAACCAGACCAAAACGACCCCTGCTTCATGCGAGGCTGGCCTAGCCGGCCCCTGCCCGTCCCGGGACACACTAGGGCCTGCGCAGCCTGTCCTGTCCCCCTGTG